TTTTATATGCCATTGTATTATTTAACCTTTCAGCATTAAACAATTTTGTCCTGCCACATGTGATATAGCCTCCTTTGAATTGTGCAATACAAACAACATTGCTTTCATATAAAATTGTTGAACTATCTTTTGTTGAAGTTAATTGCATGATACTTGGATATGATGGGTCATGTTCCTCAACCATACACATTCTCGGCCTGCTTCATATTTTGCAATAATTTTAGAATAATTTAAGGATGTTGATGTCAATGATTGCTTCACAGATTTCCATGATATAGTTATTCCTCCACGTGTAAATACATACTATGTTTGTGATTTAACTTTATGTGGATCAGAGAAATGACATGCATCTGCATATCCCACTAAAGCAGATCCCCGACTTTTGAGAGTAAGATAATCCCAAATCAATCGTACCATTTGGGTAACGAAAAATATGTTTAACACCATTCTAATGTCTTTGAGTTGGTGTAGAGCTATATTTCCCAAGGAGATTTACAGAAAAAAAAAACTGTCTGGTTGAGTGTAATTTGCAAGATAAGTTAATACTCCAATTGCACTAAGATATGATACTTTAGGACCAAGAACATTTTCCCCATTTTCAAGTGGACGAAAATGATCATTTTTCACATTAAATGATCGAACAACCATAGGTGATGCCAATTGATGTACATTATCCATATAAAAACGTTTTATTTTTTTTCTGTATATATTGATTAATAAATAATCCTTTTGGGAAGTGTTCAATCTGTAACCCAAGACAATATTTGGTTTTTCCCAAATCTTTCATCTCAAATTCATTTTTCAAATAATTAGTAGTTTTGTTGAGCTCTTCTGGAGTTCCAATTAAATTTAAATCATCAACATAAACTGTCACAATTGTAAATCCAATATGAAAACACATGGACAGACATCGTTATTTTTATAACCATCCTTCAACAAGTATCCGCTAANGAACAAATATCGTCTTTTTTATAACACTCTTCCAACAAATATTCACTACGGCGATTATGCCACATGTACAGATTGTTTCAATCCAAATAATGATTTTTGCAATTTAATTGAGAACATGGTTCCTGGGCATGTATCGTTTGTTCTTGGTACTTTAAGTCCTTCGGGGACTTTCATAAATATGTTACTGTCAAGTGAACCATACAAATAGGTAGTTACTACATTCATAAGGCGCATATCTAGCTTTTGTGACACTGTCAAACTAATCAAGAATCTAAAAGTGATGGTGTCCATGACGGAAGAATATGTTTCCTCATAATCAATTTCTGGTCTTTGTGAGAAACCTTGAGCTACGAATCGGGTTTTGTATCTTGTAATTTCATTATTTTCATTTCTCTCTCGTACAAAAATCCATTTGTATCATCAAGGATTACATTATAAAGAATTATTTAACATCATGTTACACGTATAATAAATCGACAGTGGTGATTTGCTATAGTGGAAAAAGAAACCTTCAGCCACCAATTAATAAAATTATTAAAGTGCCAATGAAGCTATTTCACATAAATCAATACACAAAATTATGGAAAATAAAAAAGATTGGTACAAAAGATGGTACGCATGTATATATAATTAAAAATTGAGTAAGTAAAGAAGCTGGGTACAATTCTGGTGGAAAGTCAAAATTTGCAACCATACAATTATGAAGAATTCATTCACTTTGTACAATTATGAAGAAATCATTCAACCGTGTTTAAAAAAAATATTCACTAGTATAATGTGTGTAAAAAAAAAAAAAATCACATATCATCAAATTGATTTTGGTACATGTGATATATAATTATACTTAAAAATTATTACTTTCTAGCTAATCTACTTTGATTTTGAGATAATCGTGCTGATAACGTGTGATGAAAGAGAGAAAAAGAGAAGAAAATAAAATTTAATAGACTTGTGTGTATTTTATTAATAACCAAAGCCCTATATTTAAATGTAAGAATCGGGAATGCAATGATAATAATTTTTAGGACTGCATGGGTACAAATGTACAATTATCATTCATCAATAAACCCTAATAAACTTGCCATTTACAACAGGTTTCGAAATATGAACTTACAAATATATGCAATGAACTTGCCAATAATAAAGAGCATACCAAAAGGTGTAGTGACAGCAAGGACACTTTCTGATGTCTTCTAGCCTATGATTTTATTCAAAGAAAAACAATTTAACAAATTAAATTAAAAAAAATAAATCGATTTGAAATACTAGAAATATATTATAAGTTAGAAATATGAACTTTGCTTGACCATATGTTTTGTTATTCTTCTTTTCTGTTTCTTGCCTTCATATACACAAATTAAAAACAAGGATATTTCGCTTCCTTCTAAATTGTCTCAAAAGCGATTTAAAAAAAAAAGTTGAACTTTGAACGTAAAAGTAGCTACTTTTTAAGAGAATTTTCTATGCAATAAATCAGTCAAACTAATATCCATATCAAATCTTTATTACCAGGGTTATTAAGTTGCTTCAAATATTTTTCTTTGTTTAAATTAAATCATAGGGTGCTAGAGGGCGTATTAATCTTGATAATGGGCACTATTTTAAATTTTTAAGAACATGTCTGGAGTTTAATCATACTCTGTACTTTGTGAATTTTTGAGTCAGAATTACATTGCGTTATTTTCGCCCGTATTAGAATAGTCCGATTATATTTAAAAGAAATTTTTTTTTTTGGGGTGGGAGAGCGTTCAATTAGACGAGACACATAATGCATGAAAAAGCTTGTAAGCTGTAATCTCCTTTAATGGTGTAAAAGATCTATAATGACAAATGAACATAATCAATTTGAATCTCTCGAAATTAATTTAAGTATGTAGGATTGCACAATATATAATGATATATACATAGGTAGCGTTTCATGCGTACGCATACTAAAATATGCTCGTGCAACATGATATTTTTTAGGTCAAATGAAATTTCCGTAAGTGATCATTTTTGTAATAATTACTTAATTAGTCATTAACTATAACCATAAGCTTCTACTTGAATAATGTTTATAATCGATCAATTCACATTTTGTATAAACATTTCTTGGAATTTATAGTGATTACCCACTTATTCATCACGCATTTATATATAATTACAATTTAAACCGTTTCTAAAATAATACTACGCATATGTTTGACTTATATTTATTAAATTATATATAAACATTGAAATTATTTTTTACCCATAAGTTTCGAGAGACTTGAAAGTACTACCTACTTAACTATCTATCTACATTCTAATCTCTCTAAATTAATATGATTCGTTGCACAATAATTTATTAATTAATTTGTATAACATCAACTTAAAAAATTATTTCATATATATTTGCAAATGTCACTACATATTTCATGATAGTTAGAAAGTCTTCATCATGTTAATTAGAGTAATGTTATTTATCATCGCTGATGACTATCATCGTGTACTGATGACATTGAATGATATATCCAATAACATTGGTTACATGTCCCTATTTTTAATTCGACCTATCATTTAATTTCATGTAGTCTTCATTGGTAGTACTTTAATCCAAAATGCTTAATTCTAAGTGATTAATAGATTTTGATTACTAACTTCAAGTTCTCAATACCATGTGAATGTATCACACGTATTGGGTTGTACTGAGAAACATTTGAGTATTGGGTTCCTGCCACGTATGCATTTATCACATGTTTGAAACATACTTCTCCAACCTTTGAAGTAAATTGGCTCTTTCGCACAAATGGACCCTCGGTTTTGTATCGTGGCTTGCCAATTGAGCTGAAGACGTTGTGATGATATGTAAACTCGGGTTGAAGTTTCTACATGCTCTAAGACACGAGTAATTTGTACTACATTCATCCCATGAATATATTCTTGCTTTCTTTTTTCGAATTTTTCTTATTGAGAGAATAGTTGAATTTTTAATTTTCTAATATGCCGTTAATTAACGTTGCTTGTTATCAAATTATAGGCCACTTGTTCTTATTTAAAATAGGGATATGCTAAGAAAAATGTAAGAAAAAAAATTATATTTCCAACTATATTAATTATTTTTTTAAATATCTGTGAAAATGGAAACAAGCCAATATTTATTGGAATATAATATGTACTTCGGTGAAATTTAATATCGAGGAGATATGACAGTTAGAAGAAACACACTAATATACCTTGTCAAAATAACTGCAATTAGTATAGCCATTCAAGTCGTCAGTAGAATTCAGATGCGGAAAGAGATGTAATTCAACAAGAAGATTATAAGTTTTCACTTCTGTGCATAATTACAAGGGTCCACTTCCAACTATATTCGATTTAAACTGATGAGTATGGCATCAATATAAATAAATATAGGAAAAGTGAATCAAACTCTATGTCTTTATTCCTCCCCTCTTCTATTTCTACATGATCTAAGACACGAGTAATTAGTACTCCATTCATTCCATGAAGATAGACTTGCTTTCTTTTTACGTCTGTCGCAAATTATAGACAACTTTTCTTATTGAGAGTATAATTAAAATTTTTAATTCTCTAATATGGCCCTATTTAACGTGGCTTGTAAAGGTGATTATAGGCCACTCTCTCTTATATAATATAGGGATATGCTAAGAAAAGTGTAAAAAAAAACAAGCCAATTTTTATTGGAATATAATATGTACTTCGGTGAAATTTAATATTGAAAAGATATGACCGTTGTTAGAAGAAACACACTAATATACATTGTCCAAATAACTGCAATTAGCATAGCCATTCAAGTCGGTTGTAAAATTCAGATGCGGAAAGAAATGTAATTCAATAAGAAGATTATAAGTTTTCAATTCTATGCATAATCACAAGTGTCCACTTCCAACAATATTCGATTTAAACAGATGGAGTATGGCATCAGTATAAATAAATATAGAAAAAGCGAGTCAAACTCTACGTCTTTATTCCTCTCCTCTTCTGCTTCTTATCCAACTCCTCAAAGTCGGGTTGTGGCGACTGGACATTACTCTTGACCTTATTTTCCACAATCAAATAACCCTCAGCTAGTGCCATTCCCAAGCCAAAAATGAGAGCCGTGCGTGAAGCCGGGCCAAGGCCTTGGCTATCTTGAGGAATCCGGAGGCAGCGGCCTCAGGGAGGATGGAATTCCATGGATCATCCTTCTGCCTTACATATATCATAGAACTCTTGAAGACAGAAGAAAGACCACCATAGGCGGCACAGCAGCTAGCACCGGTTGCACTCATGCGTACAGCTTGCGAGCCCCAGATGAGGCGCTCTCCTTTAAGGGAGTTGCGCATGCCTTTCAACATGTCATAAGCCGACCCGAGAACGAGTCCCCAGCAGAAACAATCGCCAGTACGATCCACTAGGTGATCGAACCATGGTTTGTCACATGCCATTCTTGATTCTACATTTAGTTTAACTCTAATCAATTTGCATATAAATAACTAGCAAACTAACTCAAATTAAAAACTACAGAACATAATACAAAATTGGTAATTGCAAAGTTTTATCAACTTTCAAACAAAATTAATCTAAAAAAGGGTAAAAATCATAGACATAACTAATCTGAAATAGTATAAAGCAGTACGAAATCATAAACCCTGAAACTTAGGAGTCTCCAAATTAAATCTAGTTTTCGAATGTCATAGAAGATTTCCCTTTTCTGTTATTAAAGATAATGGGTTAATCAATTCTAAATTCATGCTCTAACCGAATTCACAAAAAAACAAAAAAAAAATCAATTCGAATTTCACCCATACAATTAAATTTAAAAAACAATCATTGCATATAGTATACAATAGAGAGACCATTACAACAAGGAAAATGGATTTTTGTGAAATATGAAAACAAAGTTGCAAAAGGAAAGGCAGGGAAAAAAAATTCTCTTTATATATTTTAATGTCGAAAATTTGAAATTCACCGAAAAAAAAAACTTAAATTTCATGCTTACACGTTCTTCTTCCGTCTACTTTGACTTGAAATTGAAGATTTGGATTCCAAGGATTGCTGAAGCTTGTTGAAATACAAATCATATCAGATTTTATCTCCTCAGGTGTAGACGTGTACTGCTATGATGGATTGCTGAGTGTTGGGACCACATGTTGCTGTTGTAACAATATTGATTCTTCACGTACTTTTCCACTCTTTTAGCTTGCTCATCACTCCAAGCTTTGTATATTGAAAACCACTATATCGTACTCAATTTAATTAAGTTGAATGATAAAAGTTTTCTTCCTTTCAGATCATTAGTAATTCTTAATTCAGTTTCCTTCAAATTTCAACTTGGTATCAGAGCCATCAATGGCTAACACCGGATCAAACGATAATACGCCTTCAGCTCAGCAAACCACCAGTACGTTGATGCCTTCAATGTTGGGAGGAAATGAACCACCGTCTTCTGGGATCAGTCTCACTCAAGTCCCACAAGTGAAGCTGGACCGGAATAATTTTCTTTTGTGGAAGAACATGATTATGCCAATAATCAAAGGTCATAATCTTGAAGACTTCATCAATGGAAATAATGGCTGTCCAGTAGAGTTTCTAGCAACACAAACTACTGGTTCGACTGGAATTACTGTTGAGATGACACCTAATGTTGAATACAGGAAGTGGATGTCGACTGACCAACTATTGATGGGTTGGTTATATTCGTCAATGACACCGGAGATCGCCATGAGAGTCATGGGATCATCAACCTCCTGTGATCTATGGAAAGCTGTTCAGGAAAGCTTTGGAGCTATGAATAGGTCAAGAGTCACCTTCCTCACCAGTGAACTTCAGAGGATTAGGAAAGGATCAATGAGTATTGAATACCTCAATACTATCAAGTAGCTAGCAGATAATCTGGAAATTACTGGGAAGATCATTCCTCACAGTGACCTTATTACTCAAGTACTGGCTGGCTTAGATGAAGACTATACTCCTATTGTTGTTCAAATCAATAGCAGAGAAACTATTACCTAGCATGAGTTGCAATCTGTACTCATGACTTATGAAAGTAGAGTCGAACACCTCAGTGCTTTGAAAAATGGCCTTGCCTCAATCAACTTGACTCAAGCCTCAGCAAACTTCACTAACAGAGCTAGTACTAACAGAGGAGGTAGAACCAACTATGGTGGAAGAAGTTACAACTATAGGGGAGGAAGATACAGATGAAGAGGAGGCAGACTAATAACAAGCAAAGGACCATGCCAGATATGTGGAATGACCAACCATTCAGCAGCAAGGTGCTTAAATCGTTACGATGAAAGGTATATGGGTGCCAAACCTGATCAAAATTATCAAAGCTACTCCTCAGAACCTGCTGCTTTTCTAGCCTCATCAAGGACTGTTACAGATCCAGCATGGTTTACAGACTCGGGTGCAAGCAACCATGTCACTGCTGAAAAGGGGAACTTGATTGAGGCACATCAGTATGGTGGTAAGGAAAAACTAGCTGTTGGTAATGGTAATAAACTTCACATATCCCACATTGGCACAAATCACTTGAGCACACAGAATAATAGGTTCTTGATTCTTAGAAATGTATTATGGGCACCTTCTATCAAGAAAAATCTTCTAAGTGTGTCACAGTTAACCTCTGATAATGGCGTGTTCATGGAATTTCATCCTAATTTTTGTGTTGTCAAGGACAAACGGACAAAGGAAGTGCTGCTGGAAGGGAAACTTAAGCATGGGTTGTATCAAATTGAGCTACCAAATCAAGTTAGAAGTTCGTCCTGTTAAGAGTCTACCCAATCTCATGGCGATCAAGTTAAAGAGTCTTCCTATCCAGAGTCAGTTCATTCAAATAATTTTAATTCCTCAGTCCTTGTTGTTGAATCCAGTAGTGCCACAGAGCGTGATTCTAAACTTAAACTGTGGCACATGAGGCTTGGACATCCTACTATTCCTGTAATGTCGCAAGTGTTTAAAGTGTGTAATGAAAAACTTGATGTCAATGAAATTAAACACTTCTGTGATGCTTGCCAACTAGGCAAATCTCATTTCCTGCCATTCAATTTGTCCAGTTCACACGCGTCAGCACCTCTTGAATTATTCCACACTGATGTTTGGGGCCCTGCACCTATACAGTCTACCTCTGGCTTTAAGTATTACATTATCTTCATTGATGACTACAGTAGGTACACTTGGATATACACCTTGAGAAATAAGTCTGAATCCTTAAATTCCTTTATCCAATTCAAAAATCTGGTCGAGAACAAATTTGAAAGAAAAATAAAATCTCTTCAATCAGATTGGGGAGGTGAATTTAGGTCATTTACTCAATTAGCTCAACAATCAGGCATTGAAATGAGACTCTCATGTCCATATATCTCAGCTCAAAATGGAAGAGCTGAAAGAAAACACAGACACATAACTGAAACCGGCCTAACTCTCCTTGCCCAAGCTAGCATACCCCTGCACTATTGGTGGGAATCTTTTCACACAGCCACCTATCTCATCAACAAGTTACCTACTCCTACTCTCAAAATGAAGTCACCCTCTCAAGTTCCAAACAGGGAACAAAAAGATTTTAATTCTCTCAAAATCTTTGGATGCGCTTGTTTTCCTTGTTTAAGACCCTATCAGGATCATAAATTCAGTTTTCACTCTACTAAGTGTGTGTTCCTTGGGTTTAGCAACTCTCACAAAGGCTACAAATGTCTCAATGCTACTGGGAAAATTTACCTATCGAGACATGTAGTCTTTAATGAAAAGGATTTTCCATTTAAGTTAAGCTTTCTCAACAAAAACAATAGTCCACAAAAATCAGAAACCTTAGTCCATTATTCACCACTTCACACCTTTCTAAACCTTGATTCAGTATGCTCAATTGATGCAACTCATGTAAGTGCTACTCATTCTGCAGCACCTCACAGGCCAGATCAACATGTAGTGTCTGAAAATAATGCACTTGAAGTAGATGAATACTCACAATTGAGCAATGAACATACTCAAAGGGAAGAACAATGAGAATCTGAAAGTACTCAGGTAGAACCAACAGGAGAGTCAAATCAAGATGAAACTGCAGAACCAAGTAGATAGGTTGTTGAACATCCTATGGTTACTAGGAGTAAAGCTGGTATATTTAAACCTAAAGTCTACTCAATAGAATGTAAAGAATATAGAATGGAACCAGACAGCACTGAACCTAATGATGTTACTGAAGCATTGTCAAACACAAATTGGAGAAAAGCCATGGAGGATAAGTATAGAGCTCTAATTAGAAACAAGACATGGAAGCTCGTGCCACCATTGGTAAATCAGAAAGTGATCGGAAACAAGTGGGTGTTCAGGCTCAAACGTGACATTGCAGGTAATGTGTTGAAGTACAAAGCCAGGCTGGTTGCAAAGGGCTTCTTGCAAACTTCAAGCGTTGATTATCATGAAACTTTTTGTCCAGTAATAAAAGCATCTACTCTACGAATAATCCTTATAATTGCTGTCTCTAGAGGCTGGAGTGTTAGACAAGTAGATATCAACAATGTCTTCTTGAATGGAAAGCTAAACGAAGTAATCTACGTGAATCAACCAGATGGTTTCATTGACAAGGCCTATCCTAACTTTTTCTGTAGGCTTGAAAAGGCACTTTATGGACTCAAGCAAGCACCTAGGCCGTGGTATGAAAGGCTAAAAGGAACATTGTTAGACTGGAAGTTTTTCAAATCTAAGGCAGACAATTCTCTTTTCTTCTACATGAATCAAAGGCAAGTCATTTTCTTTTTGGTATACGTAGATGATATTGTGATAACTGGGAATGATCACAAAATGTTTCAAGACTTCATTGAAACACTTAACACTCAGTTCGCACTGAAAGACATAGGTGAATTGCATCAGTTTTTGGGAGTTGAAGTAATGAAATATCAGTCAGGAATGCACCTTACCCAGACTAAGTACATAAAAGACTTGTTAAAAAGGTTTAACTTTGAGCATCTTAAGCCGTGTGAACCCCTATGACAGTAGGCAAAGGTCTTTCCATAGATGAAGGAGAGAAAATGGTGAATCCCTCTCTGTACAAAAGTGCAATAGGAGGCCTGCAATATCTTGGACATACACGACCTGATATAATATTTTCAGCTAACAAGCTGAGCCAATTTCTACAATCTCCCTCAGATGTGCACTGGAAAGCAGTAAAGAGAATTTTTAGGTACTTGAAAGGGACAATCGAACAAGGTCTTTGGATACAAAGGAATGATAGAATAGATGTTACTGGTTTTGCTGATGCAGATTGGACGTCGTGCCCTGATGACAGAAGATCGACAGCAGGCTACTGCGTGTATCTAGGAGACACCTTGGTGGCCTGGTCTTCAAAGAAGCAACAAGTTGTACTTAAGGAAATCAAGCTACAACCTACTTCATCTCCTATCTTATGGTGCGATAATCTCAGTGCCAGCGCTCTAGCTTCCAATCCAGT